TAAAAAAAAGAAAGGAAAAAAAAGAACTTAGTAAGGACCTCAACAGCATACAAAAGACCCAGTCAGAAACGAAGGATACACTGATTGAAATAAAGAACAATTTACAGGGAAACAAAAGTAGAGCAGATAGAGCCAAGAATCAAATCAATGATTTGGAACATAAGGAAGCAAAAAACAGCCACGCAGAACAAGAAGAAAAAAGAATGAAATATATGAGGATGGTATAAACAGCCTCTGGGACAACTTCAAGAGGTCCAGCATTCACGTTATGGGGTGCCAGAAGGCGAAGGGAAAGAGCAAGAAATTGGAAATGTATCTGAAAAAAGAGTGAAAGAAAAATTCCGTAATTTGGTGAAGGAAATAGACATGCAAGTCCAGGAAGCGCAGGGAGTCCCAATATTGATGGACGCAAAGAGGCCCACTCCAAGACACATCATAATTAAAAGGCCAAAGGTTAAAGAGAAAGAGAGACTCTTAAAAGCAGCAAGAGAAGTTAGTTACCAGATGGCTGCCATATGGGAGGGGACAATGGGGAGAATAGGTGAAGAGGCGAGGGGATTAAGAAGTACAAATAGGTAGTCACAGAATAGCCATGGGGATCTAAAGTACGGTGTAGGAAGTGGAGCAGCCAAAGAACTTACACACAGGACCCATGGACATGAACAATGGTGGGGGGACTGCCTGAGGGAGTGGGAGCTGCTGCGTGGAGGGGGGGCAGTGGGGAAGATGCAGGACAACTGTAATAGCATAATCAATAAAATACAATTAAAAAATTCTCACGGAAGGACTGTAAAATGATAGTTTTTTTAAAAACTATTCTGAATAATAAGGAGAAGACGACTGGTTTTACCAGACAATAGGACATAAAGCAATAGCATGGTACAGGGATAAACAGAGCAAAGGGAATGAAACTGAGGTACAGGTATTTGTATACATGGCATATAGTTTGCGTTGGCATTACAATCTAGTGGTGATTTTCCTAAAATCTCTCAAACAAGCAGCATCTGGCCTGAACGTGCCCTGTACCTCTCACTAAGTGGCCCCAGGCCTGGCATCAGCAGCAGCCGGCTTTGGTTTGCAGCTTGGCCTCTCTCTCGGACGCCTCCAAGACCAGCACAAATAGCAGCAATCTGCAAATCACTTTTTAGCTCATGCCGGGTCGCTCTGGGCAGAATACAGGCAGCGGACGACCCTGGCCCGTACCTCCCAGGAGGCCTCAGAGTCAGAGCACCCAGTGGACAGCTTCAGACCGCATCCAAGCGTCACCACCCGACCGCATCCAAATGCAGCGCACTCAGGGGACAGAGTCAGCGGCCACCAGAGCCCCACTGAAGTTAGTCCTGCTCTGTGGAATGGGTCCTTGTATAGTTGATTTTCCACAGTGGTCAGAGGTCGGAGGTTAGTGATTGTACCCACTCCTTGCAGCTGATCAGCCTGAGAATAAATTTCTCTCCTTGACCTGCCACAAGGAATCAAGGCTCAATTACAGTAGGAGAGTAGACACGGTCTACACAAGGGGTGTACTTCAAGTGCCCAGCTTGGGCAATTGGGAAGGCTGTGTCATTGGACCCTACAGAACACCTACTACATTAGGTCACTCTACCAAGGCTTTGTTTTACCAGACAAAGATCTGTATAAAAATATTCTTAGTAGTTTTTTTTTTTAAATAATCCAAAACTGAGTATAATCCAGATGTCCATCAAGGGGTGAATGGTTAAACAAACTGATATATTCATAGAAAGGGATGCACTTCTGATACACACAGCTATAGCTTACCAGTATAGTGTACCATAAGTAGGTTTGCCTAGATAAAAGAGAGAAATTTACATTTGTAATTTTCATAGGTACTTTTAAGTTTTGCTTCATGGGTCTAACTTTATTTTACACTGCTACCAGCAATATAGAAGATGCCTGTTTACCACTACCTGATTGACAGTTTGTTGTCAGTCTTTTGGATTTTTGCCAATATGCTAAATAAAAAATATCTTCGGAGGTTTGAGCTTGCTTTCTTCAGTGAGGTTGAACACCACCTTTACATATATTTGAAAGCCATTTATATTTCTATTCCTATTAACTGTCCTTACTGAACTTGGCCCACTTTTTTATTAGGTTGTTGGTCTTGATCTCCATTTTTTTGGACCTCTCTGTATAGAACATGCTTGTTATATGAGTTGCAAATATTTTTTCCCAGTTCGCATTTGGCTTTTGACTTTGCTTATAATGTGTTTGATTTGTCATCTAAAAAGGCTCTTAATTTTATGCAGCTGAATTTACTATTTTTTCTATAGTTTCCAGATTTTGCTTCATACTTATAAAGGCCTTCTTCATTTGAGATTATAAAGGAGTTTGCTTTGTTTTCTTTCAGTTCTTTTATGGTTTGTCTGTTTTTTCAGCATTTAAATTCTTTGCTCTATTTCTGGTTAATCCTCATATACAATCTCAGGTATAGATGAACTTTTTTTTGTAGTTTGGTTCCAGTTGTCCCAACATCAATTATTAAAAAGTTCATCTTTATCTTATTTTAGATGCCGCATTTATTTTCTCCTAATTTCCTTCATGTCTTGGAATCTGTTTTGGTCTTTTGTTCCACTGGTCTGTCAGTCTGTTGAACAGGCACTATCATGAAGGAACAAATAGTACCCAAAAAATCAGCCTGCAGAAGTGGAATGGAGAAAGAGTGATTGACAACTTTCCCTCTGTGAAAGAGAGGGAAACAAACTTTCCTGCTGATGAAATAAACTTACACCTGGAATCAAGCTGTGCAGAGAAGCATAAGGGAGCACAGCTATATTTGAAAATGGCATTACAGAAATGCATGAGGGAAATTACCAAAAGAACCGAAGAGTTGATAGTCCCAGTTCATTGTCTTATATGCCATATGGAATTTGAATTTTGCCTTATAAATAGTGGGACAGTTTTCAGCAGACTAATGAAATGTAAGATTGTTTTGGGATTCTAAATCAGAGTTCACTGGGTGCCTCAGCAATCCATACACGGGCTTCAAGGTCTGTTAATCCTCCCTGAAATTTTATGTCAGAGAGCATCTGAGCCATCAGAGTCTCAGAAGTCTGACACACACAAAAGTTAAGAATACCTTCTTTAGAAAGATATCTATGATGCCATGGAATAGGATAGATTGAATGGGGTTTAAAACTAAGATAGGGTTACTAATCAAGGAATTTTTACATTAGAGTAGACAGAATATGAATAGCAAAGGGGAAAGGTGAGCTTTCCCTTCAGTTCATTATTTCTGGATGGTATGGCTAATGGACATTAGTTATGTTCTGTACAATTTCTACAAACACCGTATTAGTGAATATTGAACCATTACTCCTAGGGCAAATATGGGGTTACTATCATATAAATGAGCCAAAGATGGTCTCTATATATTCGTCCTTAGGTAGTTTATTTTTTTCAGTCTGCTGGGGCCCATTAGCTTAAAAGCCCACTGGCATAGGGCACTTGTTTACAGTCTTGAGAGCTAGAACATAAAGGCACGGTGTCACCTTGTTCAGCCTCAGCTGGGAAAGTGCACGTTGGACTTGCTCCTCGTCACATGTTCATGAAAGCATTGCAAGTACTGGTTTGGGAATTACAAATAAATTTTACCAAGTAGACAAACTGCAAATGCAGAAGGCACAAATAAAGAGCATCCGCTGTACCAGTCCAGTCTCATGCATACTTCCAATGAAGAGCCTAGTCCTTCATGAGAAACTTTCCCCTTGCTGGGTAGTTTTAATGGTTATATTGAGCTAAATCTGGCATCCTGTTTTTCTCTAATCATAGGTCCCAATTTGACTTTCTGGATTATTTCCCCTTCAATCAACTATTTAAGTTCAGCTGTCTTTTATATACCCTTACTCCATTTTTTCCCCTTCTAGCATAAAGATACTCAGTTTCTTTGGGAACTTTTGGTTTGCTAAGTACTTTAGTGATTTAAAAGAATAAAACCTTTAATTTTATTTTCTCTATTTCTCCCCAACCCTCAACTGTTAAAACTGCCCAACCTGAACTACTACTGCCTCACTTTAGTCCACATTGTGTTTGTCAGTTCTCCTTCAGTTATAAACTACTCACATTTACCAGGAGTTGGGGGCATACAGTAAAGGTCAAAATAGGGATCATTTCAAAAATATGAAAGCTTCCTTTTACCTCCCTTGCCAGTGGCCCTTCCCTGTCCACTCCCAGTGTCTTCTCTGCTTCTCCCCAGGTTAGCTTCATTCTGTAACCAGATTTTCTCAATGTAGTGGGAAAGATGGCCACTGGGGGCTCCAGGTTTCTATCTGCTTGTTGTGCTGTAACTGTAATAGAAGAATTCTCTCACCAGTGTCCACCTATAAATTTAGTGTTGGGGTCATATATCTATCTAGTCCTGGATCAGTTGCTATTGCCAGGGATATGGAACACTGATTAGTCAGCTTATGTCACTTGTAGCCAGAAAAGTAGTGACCCTTGATTAAGAGTCTCTTCAGTACCATGTGAATTTTTAGGAAAGGGCAGGTTCCCTGAGGATATAGGGGCGCTAGGCAACTATATAACAAATAACAATTACACACATTAAGACACTTATTTTCTTTCTCCTGTCTTTAGGACCAGTAAGACATCTCTTAAGGACCATCAGTGTGATGGAAGGATTAAACAGTTTTTAGCTTTAAATAATGTTGGATCAAAATTGATTTTGCTTTAAATGTTGACATCTATTACTCCTCAATCATGGGTACATAGAGATCTGTTATATTTTCTGTTTTCTTTGATATGTTTAAATATTTTATAATTTTAATAAACTAAAACTTTAAGTTGGTGAGTAATAATAGATATCTTGTCATAATTTCCCTTTCATATTAAGTTAGCTGTAGAAAAGATGTTGTATCTGACATAGTAATCAATGTGACAGTCAAGGTATTATATTATGAAGGTAAGTTACTGAGTTATTTTAAAAAATGATGTGAAAAACATAATTTTTTTTTCCCTTTACCTCATATACATTTATGATACTGTAGGTACCTGCAAGGTGTGGAGTTACAGTCCGGGACAGTCTAAAGAAAGCACTGATGATGAGAGGTCTAATCCCAGAGTGCTGTGCTGTTTACAGAATTCAGGATGGGTATGGTTTGTATATGATGTGAAATTTTGTTCAAAAATAGGGGAAAAAACCCTCAGACCTTAAACTTTGGGATTTTCTCTAAGATCTTTACCTAACTAAACCTAGGGAATTGAAAATCAACTTTCGAAAACAATATTAAATTAAGGATAAATCTTGTAGGCCCTTGGAGTTCATATTAGATATTTTGTGTGTAACGATAGTGTCACTCTGATCAAATGACTTTACTTGGAATTTGTGATTCTTAAAATTTTTGAACCATTTAGAATGTGACTTACTTGAATAGTGGGCTCATCCCCACTCCCCTGTTTTTAGCACAAACTCATAGTTTCACAAAAGGCTTATCAAATTAACATTTTATATTGAACTATTTTTCTTTCAGAAAGCATCTAAAATCATGCCAAGATATGCCGCCCCCCCCCCCCCATTTTGAATCCCATTTTAAAAATTATCCTTTTTGGGGCATGTTGTCCCTTGAGTACTCTTTTTCTTTGGATAGATATATCCGTACCTGTGAATTTTTTTTTTTTTTTTTTTTTTTTTTTTGGATGCCAGGAACAATCCATTTTCTGCTGTTGTAGGTCTTTTCTGGAGCTGACTTGAAGAAAAGAGTACATCTCTTTACCCTGCTGTTTGTCCAAGAGTGATACATTTATTTGGGGTAAACTTAAAAATTAATTTATTGACATTTAAATTTCTAACGATGGAAGACCAGGGAGCCAAACCTCCCTCACCATTACTAGCCCCTCAATAACCAATTTTCATATCTTCAGCATGAGGTAAATGAAGACTTTAGGTATGATTACCAAGAAAGGCTTGTGTCTACACTTTTCAGAGAGAAGAAGCCGATTGGCTGGGACACTGATATTTCCTGGCTTACTGGAGAGGAATTGCATGTAGAAGTATTGGAGAATGTTCCACTTACAACACACAACTTTGTATGTACCTTTCCTGTTTTTTTTCCTGAAATGTCAAAAATGTTTATATTCTTGTGAATGAATTTTTATGTAGGAAGTATGAAATATGGATGAATCATTTGGGGTTTGATATTTTACCCAAGTTAAAAATCAGTTCTGTTCTTTAAAAAACTTGAATTTAAACTAAAGAGTTTTACTTTAATTATTATACTTTCTTTTGAATTTAAACAAGCAATACATGACCACTAGTAAAAGAAAATAAAAAGAAAATTTGAATGATAAAAAGTATATCAAGTAAAAATGAAAATACCATATTAGAGGTAAACTAGTATTAATCAATTATTGTGTAATCTTCTGATTTCTTTCTATGTATACAAACATGTATGCTTATATCTGTGAGCCTAAGGTTTTCTCCTTTCTCTTTTTACTATTTTCCATTTCTTTCCTATTCTTAAACTAAAAATGGAGTCTTGTTCTTTGTGATATTCTTTACCTTTAAAAAACATCAACAAGCATATCACGGACATCTTTTGATATTAGTACACCTAGCGTTATTTTTATGATTGCATAATAGGCTGTAAGAATAGGATAAATTCAGTACATTTAATCATCCCTCTATTAATAGACATTTAGATTTTTTTAAACCTCTTACATACAGACCTAAACAGGATCTTCCTGCATACATTTTGACATATTTGCATAAATTTTTCTGAAGGATAGGTTATTGGAAGTGAAACAGCTCTTCTTGAGGACTGAAAGAATACGTTAAAACTCTCCATGAGGACTTCTCCCTTTGATTTTTGCATTTGCTAGAACCTAGCTTAAGCTAAGTCACCAGCATGAAGCCTGAAAAGTGAGACCTCTCTACCTTATAGATGAGGGCAAAGTTCCCAGAGCTTGAGAATCTGTCCTCTAAAAGGATAGGCAAATGCAGGATTAGAATGATCTATAGTACAAGAATGAATTTCTTACTTGTCCGTATGTAGGGTCCAGCGGAAGTAACGCTTCCTTGAGTGTGGTTGGTAGGGTAATGATATGGGTGTAATAATTTATAGCTTTAATTTGCACATTTCACCTAAAATGTCAAGTGGTGTACTCGAGTGTCATATTGTTATATTACAGAATTATATGCTTATGATTTTGTAATAAAAGATTTTGTAATAAAAAAGAGGCATTTCTGTGCCGTACCCTGTATATAGAATTTTAACCATAATTTATTTTTTTCTAGATGGATAGTTACTGCTACCATTTTGGTGTCAGGTGTTTTCCCATATATCTTAGTGGTTAGTACAGCTGGTCTCTTAAAGCAAACAATTGATGAGATGATTTCCTCAGGGGGTTGTGCTTTTGGGGCTCTATTAGTGGTAAATAATGAAATCAGGTGTTTCAATTATTAAGGCATCTTTTGGACAAGTATAAAATATGCCTAATATCAATCAGATTTACTACGTAGCAAATAGTTCTATAATGATGAACTTGGAAGTTCAATACTATTGAGATTTTTTAACTCAGTGTAGAATTTTGAGTGGTAAGTGTTTAGGAATCCAAAAACAGTTGAGTTTACATTTCATAGTGATTATTACTCTTAATTATTCTTAGCTACAAATATATGGGGAGGTGAAAGAAGATCTAAGTTGCCAGGTGGAAAATTGTGTTAAAATAGTGTCTCAGGAAGGTCCTTGCCACAACAGTGTAGTGAAAGCAAACTGCAGGTTAGTTCTAGAGTGTGGCAACTTTTCAGCACAGTTGGAGATCTGCCAGTAAATGTTTACGGAAAACCTTCTATTTGCCAACACCATGTCTGATCTGGGAATATAACAATGAATAAGAAAAATAGTATCCCAGCCTTAGAGTAGAGAGACAAATGATTTAACAAGAAAACTTCATAAACACATGTAATTACTGTGTATGTGTAAAGTGCTATACAGAGTAGAGACTCCTAACCTGGCCTTGGAGGAGTCAGGAAGGTTTCCCAGTGGAAGAATAAGCTAAGGTCTAATAGATGAGGCAAGAGTAGATGAAAGTGAAGGAAAGAATACTCAAGGCAGAGTAAACAGCAAGAAAACATGTTGCCTTTTCATTTAAAAAAAAAAAATTCAGAATGGATGGTACAAAGTTAGGGGAGAGGGATGTTACAGTATAACAAGCGTTACAGGTAGAGTGAGCAGAGTCCAGCTCATGAGAGTCCTTGTAAGCCATATTAATGATTTGGACTTTTCTGTAAAGTAATTGGAAATGTAATGGTTGTAAGCAGGGGAGAAATGAGATTAGATAGGTGTTTTAGAACAGTTGCTCTGTGTGTCATATAGAGGCAAAAGTAAAAGCCTGTACTCGATGCTTCTTAGAAAGGAAAGAATTCCTTTCCTCAACTCTGCTGGATTTTGCTGGCTACTCAAGGAATGCTGCTGATGCCTTGGGGTTTTATAGTCTGTTATAAAAGTAATTCCTTCAATTCTTGCCTACGTCCCAGGAGTCCTTGAGAACTGGTAGACTGAAGGGGGACAGGGAAGGTAGGGAAACAAGATTTGAAACAGACGCCATTTGTCCAGCCCTTCCCTTTTTCTCCAGTCACTCAGGTTAATGTCTTCCTTCAGACAGCCCACACCTTACAAATGGAAGCATGCAAATTGCCTGGTCTTTGTCTCCCATTAATTTACCGTCCATGTCTTGAGATGCTCAAATTCAAAATAAGCCTAAATTGGGACCCCCCCAAAAAAGATATACCTTCTGGTGCTCACCTTTATTGACAAGAGTATACTTAAAAATACAAGTACAGAGTTGGGCAAAAATAGGTTTACAGTTGTTGATGTGGGAAATAATACAATCATTTATAATACAAGAATAAACTCTTTCTCTTGGGATTTCACAACTGCAAACTACTTTCGTCCCATCCTGTATATGTCACTTGTAATTTACACTAAAGTGCATGTTTTCTCCTCTTAGATATTTTCCTCTTTTCTGCCTCCCTTCCTTCTCCCCTCTTTCTTTGTTTCTCTTTATTTTCTTTTACATACACAGCCAGTTACACATAGTTTTCAAGTATAAGTCAGTGACGGGAAGAAAAACTGCAACTGAGTGAATGAACACAGGAAGAGAAATTAGGATTTCATGATACTCAAAAGGTTGTCAGGAGAGTGAAGGTGTGAGTAGTTAGCAAAGAGGATCAGATGACGATAAAATGCCAATTCCTATGCAAAAGTTTTATCTTTTTCTGCGCTCCATTTCCTGAAATTATGCTAGGAGTGTAAGAGATTGTTGGCTTTGGTAAATAGTGGTCACATAAATGTCAGAAGTTAATTTCTTGTATATCCATAGACAGGTGGAAAAGGAACAAAGCTAAAAACAAGTGGTTGCTTTTTACTTCCCCTAGAAAGTGATAATAGAAAAAAGATGAAGAAAACAAGAACCATTTTTAAAACTACCTAAATGTTCTCAAAAGCTAGAATGGCTGATATGCCAAGATACCATTTTCTTGATGAAATGTTTTTAAGTAAAGTTTTATCCTGTTAAATATGTGTTTATTGAGAAGAGTTTGGTAAACTTTGGATGATGAGATCAATTTAATGACTCATGAAAAGCATTTACCCTCTTCTGCCATGTACGCTGTGCACGGTTTTGCCCAAATTTTTGAGGGAAAAAATAAGGATGCACATTATACATGGGTAGTATCTGAAATACCTTGTATCTGTTCTTGTGTTTGTAATTATTTGTTACGCGAAATTTCTTGTACCATGATATGTTCAAAAATAAATGCTAAAACTCCTTTGTGATACAAAAAACAAGTATCTAAATATCAATAAATAAATTAATTAAAAAATTAAAATGGAAGATTTTTTCCCCCTGAAAGTGTGGGTTAAAAATGTGGATATGTATTATACATGGCAAAATACAGTTATGTATAGTTAGGGTAAGTATTGTTATGTGAATACAGATGTGTCATAGGTCATAATGTAAAATACATTTTTTACTATGGTTTTTATTAAAACCGTCTGAAAAACTGAGGTGAATTGAAAGTATTCAGCAAAGAATAAAGGACAAAATAGAAATCACCTGTGCTCTCATCACTCTGAAATAGCCATTGTTCACATTTTGGTATTTGTTTATCCTCCCTTTTTTTGTTTATGATTTCTACTTATTATTTGTACAGGTGAATATTTTTTCAACATTTTCTAACTTTGGTAATTATCACGGTAGAGCCTCCCTAACATAAAAATAAAAATAAAAAAATAGAGCCTCCCTAGCACAGTTTGTGTGACCCATGTTGTGGATCAGCAATTTTCAACCAGTGTGCCGCAAGAATTTTTAAAACATGCAATACCTCACTATTTAGTCAGGGACATGAGCTCATTTCCCTTAAAATGTCAGATAAAAAAATGACAACGGCCAACACAACAATAGCCATCCAGTGTGAATGAATCAAAGTATATCTTTTTGTTTTTCTGTCAAATCGGCAAAAAGAAAAATTTTTTGGTGTGCTGCAGAATTTATATGTATTGAGATGAAAAGGTTGCCATGAGATGAAAAGGTTGAAAATCGCTGTTGTAGATCAGTTTGCCTCTGATGTGGAGTTCTTACATGTTGTCTTTTTTAAGTTTCACATAGAGGAGTGTTCAGACACATTTAGGTGTTCTAATCCTCTAACAAAATGATGACTTGTTGGAAGTTGTTCATTTTGTCCTTTAGGTGACTTTTCCTGTCCCTTATCCTAGTTAGTAAATTTAGGTAGGGTTATTATTTTCATACAATTACAATAGTTTTTTTTCTTTTCTAAATAATTGTTTTTACATTTTAATCAAATGTATATAGTTTTAAAAGTGGTCAGAGGGGCTTATAATGAAAAATAATCTCTTTTTTTACCATCTCTTGCTAGCCTGTAATGCCACTCTCCAGAGGAAATCACTCTTTTAATGGTTTCTGTTTCAAGTTTTTTTGGTGATTATTAAGCCACAATTTCTTGCTTTTTCAACTTTAGACATCATTTACTGATTACTGATTCCATTGGGAATTAGCTTATTCATGGCATTACAACCTTTCCTCCTCCTTCCCTTCCACTAATGTGGGGTGTTTTGTTGTTGTTTTTTTTTTTATTTTTGGGTTTTTGAGGCTCATCCAGTGGATACCTTTGTGACTTTAAGTAGTATTAGCATACTTTTGTTTTTTATTCTCAACACCAGTAAACATCTCATAACTCCTTTCTTTGTACAGTTATTAAATTGTACCCTTATCCTTTTACTTCTGTTCCCTCCTCTTATCAAATCTCTACTTTTATTGTTATGTAGTCAAGCTTGAAATTAGTTACAAGTCTTGCATTCATTTCCCATCAAGACTTCTGAGTTTTTTAATTGGATATCGGGCAGGAGATAATATATATAGTCTCTCTACTAGCTTGAACCCACTGGTCTTTATTTTAGTATCTTAGTGTGTACGGCAGTTCTCATGATATAAACATACAAAAGATTTATTTCAAACCAGAGAATAAATAAGTTGATTTCTAAAAAAGATTCTTACGAGTTTTTGAAATCCTCTCTGATGTTTTACTTTGCAGGTACGGAAAACGTTTTTCACCTTAGCATTTTGTGACTTTTGTCGAAAGCTGCTTTTCCAGGGTTTCCGCTGTCAAACATGTGGTTATAAATTTCACCAGCGTTGCAGTACAGAGGTTCCACTGATGTGTGTTAATTATGACCAACTTGAGTAAGTAATCAAAAAAAATTTCTGTCTACCATTTTATGTTTAATTTTTATGAATGTGAAACTAGTATGTCTTAGAGTCTGTGGGGGTTTTCTGTCCAATAGAGTTGTTACAGGGAATTTTTTTAAACATGCGTATAGAAAGTAATATGTAGTATAGACTGTACTTTACTTCAAAATTATACTTTTGGTTCAGCTACACAGTTTAATTATGTTTTATATTCTCTTATAATTAATAAAGATCCCTTGCCCATAGAAATCACTTTTAGATAGTTTTTGGGAGAAGAGGTGGTGTTTCAATTAAGTTAACCATTCTATTTTTGGACCACAGTTCAAGGGATCTGATTCTGTCATCTGTTTTGTAAATTGTTTCTCTTTTTCCCCCCACTTTAACCCCACCTGCACCCTCAGTTTATTTAAAAGTAAGATATAAAAATCTTTGTACCCAGTGTATCTCTTTCTAAAATTTCTACTTGCTTTTTATGGTAGTTTCTCTATAGATTAAACTAAGTCTTTTTTAATATTTTTGTATGCCGTTGCTGCTGCTAAGGTCTTGCTGCTTTTCTTGATCATTTGAGCAAGTAGAACTCAGCTCAGTATTTTAAAATCAATTATAATAATGTAATCTAACTTTGCATTAGTTACATCTTCTTCTAATTCCTTAACCATAAATCATGATTTTTCCCCTCTGATATGTAAAAATTTGCTATATAGAACAATTAGGTTTAGATTCTGAGCTTGCTTTTGAAAATACAATATAATTTTTAAAAATAAGCCGTTAGATAAAAATACAACTAATTGAATTAACGATCATTTCTAAAAATGGAATTTGATCTCAGATATTTCTGTTAACTCTGTAATGTATTCTGATGTATGAAGCTTCTGGGTTTTGCACAAGTTAGGTTTCTTTTGTTTTGTTTTTGTTTCTGCCTCACAGTTTGCTGTTCGTCTCCAAGATTTTTGAACACCACCCAATACCACAGGAGGAGGCCTCCTTAGCAGAAACTTCCCTTGCGTCTGGATCATCCCCTTCCGCACCCCCCTCTGATTCTATTGGGTATGATTTGACTCCTGCTATTCAGTGACATGCTATTTGAGCTGGCTCCTTTTGGATCTTTGGTTTACTGTGAACCTTTTTAGCATTTGCATTGTTAAAAGGGGATATTTTTTCAGATAACTTATTACACCAGTCAGATATTTAGCGTGTACTTGGTACAGATACATGGCATTAAAACTGACATAGACTGTTTCAGGATGTCTTGAAAAAATCAAGCAACAGATAATTGAGTGAGTCCCTGCCTGGTGCTCATCAATTTATTAGGTAACATCAGATATAGAAGTGGATGACTCATTTAGAAAAGTAACATTAACATGAGACAATGACAAATAATTTAAGAATGGTATATAATCAAAATCTATACTTTATGACATAGTATTTTAAACTTACGTGATAAGGATGAATATTACCATGTTTACAAAGAAGAGGGTAGTAAGCAAGAGTAGTCAACACAACTTAATGAAGAAAGTGGGATTTGAATTGGACCGTAAAGAATTCTAAAATCTGAATGAGCCTACAAATAAAAGCATGGTGATTGGGAGGTGGAGGAGAGAGGAGAAACAGCATAAACAAAGGGAGTGGCAGTGGTGTATTTAGGAGATAGTAAAAAGAGCCTAATCTAAGTCAAGAAAAAGCATGTGTAAAATTAGATTATGGAGAGTCTTGGAATTTAGGCTAGAATTCATACTTGGCATAAGAGGGGAAAAAAGAATTAAAGGTTTTTGAGCAGAGTACTAACCTGGTGAAAATGGTTTTAAAGAAAGAATCACTGAACAGTGATACTCAGATAGATTGATAGAGAAATGTCTATGATAAAGAAAGCCAACTAGGATGCGGTTGGTTGTGAAGATGGTGAGAAACAGTGAAGATTTAACTGGAGTGGTAGCAACATGCAGAAGCAATGAATATTCATAAAGTGTAAAAGAAAAAAAATTCAAAGTACTGTTGATCACTTATGGTGGATAAAGGAGAGAATTCATTTTAAAGATGATACAAATTCATCTACATATTCGAGCATCATGTGAGGGGGGGGAAAGAGATGATAAGGAGTTTAGAAGATACTGGGTTGGCCAAAAGGTCATTTAGGTTTTTTTCCCATACAGTGGCACTAGTAGTGCTTAGTTGCCTCTAACTTCATTCAAAACAATTTTGTTAAATTGTATCGTGATAGCTGTCATCAGTGTGTGTTTAAGAAAATAAAACATCTAAATTGGTGAATTTTTGTTTAGCCATTTTAATACTGAAGATGACAGAAAATACGCGACATTTTTGGCGTATTATGCCTTATTATTTCAAGAAAGGTAAAAACAGCTGCAATGCAAAAAAAAGTTTCATGCAGTGTACAGAGAAGGTGCTGTGACTGATCAAACATGTCAGAAGTGATTTGTGAAGTTTCTTGTACTACTGACATTTTGACCAAATAACTCTTAGCTGTGGGGCTGTCTTATGCATTGGAAGATGTTTTGCAGCACCCCTGGCCTCACCCACTAGCAGGAGTAGTAGAAGCCAATGGGAGATAGCTGACATACTCAAAATATCCAAATCAGTATTTATTTGTGAAAATAAAAAACGTGTCTTTTATTTTACAGCAAAAAATAAATGGACTTTTTGGCCAACCCAATACTGGTTTGCTTTGGAGCATTTCTTACACAGGTCTGCTTATTTCCCTATGAGATTTGAGAAAGCATAAATTATACTATATCTTGGGGCATATAGTAAAGGGAAAAAAAAAGAAGTCCCTTACTCAGCATTCTTTTCTAGACTATTCTAGAGGTAATCAGTTAAGATCAGAAATATTGTCAGTTTTAACCCTACTTCCTCTCACTCTTCACAATGTAATCCTATTTCTTCTACCCAGAGAGGGGAAAAACAATTGATACTCACAGTAGATGTATAATTTTTATGAAGCCAACCTTCCTGGAGGTTTCATAAGCTAGAAAATTGAGCAAAAAGCTTTTGTATTAAGGTGTGAATATATTTACCTATTTTGGACCACTAGAAAATGCAACCTCTGTTCTCTTGACAGGTTGTAAGAGTTACCCTCTCTGGTGGAGACATCTTATTCCTGCTGTCTCTATCAGTATTTGTATGCAGCTGTATATTTCTTAGGAGACCAAATCAAAACGTTATTTTTTTTATTTTTAATTAATCTGTTGACTATGACATTTACTCCTGACAGACCATGATGTCTTTCTAATGGCAGGTCCCAGTTCTGTGCACAGAGTTACAGAATATTATTATGAAATTAGCTTGAACTCCCTGAAGGTTTATAATGGTAATGATCAGGACATTTGCCTACCAGTGATGGGAATGCTAAGTTTAAATTAAGAAACCATTTGCCTGTGCCATACTTTATTCATAGCTACATGGAAGTAGATTCTGGCCTTTAGCAAATGATGAGAAAGGTGTTCAAACTGTTGTTTTCCTGATGCTTTCCTGTCAGAATTGTGTATGTGTGCCTGTGGAAAGACAAAAGCAAATTCTTTTCTTATCAGAATTCCTTTGCATTTTGTTAATAGTCTGATAACAATCATAAATGGTCATGAAACATACAATAATAATAATAGAATGTAACCAGGACCTATTAGAGAAGTGATACATTGTCCAGTCTGGATAAAAAGTTAGAGGTACCTACATTTCTACTTTTAAAAAATGCTATGGAATGTATAAATTTATGAAAAGTTGGCATTTTAAAATTTGCATATCACTGAACAGAAGTAGTCACTTTGCTTCAAAACTTTTAATATTCTAGATTAAAAACAAGACCTAAACTAACAGATAATTTGCTGAAGGGTGCTAGAGGTTAAAAATTCTTTTTATTTTTGATTTGATATTGCTTAAAAGAGGTTTACAGCAAGATAGGTAGAAATATCCTGAGGAGAAAGCCAGTTTGCTGACACCAACATACTTCACAGGGTATAAATCACCTTGGTCTGAGTAAAGACTTGCCAGCATGGGAACAATTATATCAGTCCCCAGAAATGATGAGAGTCAGGGATGTACTGGTTTACATTAATCAGAATTAGAAAACACTAATTCAGAATAACAGGTAATTCATTTCAGTAAGGAATAGGCAAGATACTTGTCCTCAAGGGTGTAGATAAATTGACTTTATGGAACAATGCATACCTTCCCTGGATGGTATTAGATACCAACGGCCAAATTATCATCTTTCTCACTTATATAATAAGCAGATATCCTTTTTGTCTAATATATCCATTTTTTTCTTTAGATATGATAATAAAATTTATCAGATTAAATCCAAGTTTTTGTTTTTCTTACTTCTGGACTAGCATTTTTTGCATACATATTTCTGATTTGATATGCACTATATATTGCTGTCTTCATTCAGTAAGTTTCAAAAGTGAGTTGCTGTCACTTAGGCCTCCACCAAACCAAATATTTTAATTTAGACTACCTTGTAATTAATTCAAACATTTTCCCCCTTTAACTCCTGCCTGAAAGTATGCTATTGCTTTGAGACTTCAAATCAGCCTATAAAATAGCTTTTCAAAAGTCTGCACTTTCCAAAACTTTTTTAAAAAAGTAATATTGTTGGGGGGAGGGGTGATAAGGGAGATGAATGGTAAGGGAAAGAAATACAACAAAAAAAAATGTTTTGAAGTAATAGTCTTTTTTACTTTCTTTACCTGCTCCCAAAATCTTTTAGCAAAGGGTTTATATTTGGCTGCCTAAAGCAAAAATAAAGACAGCTCTGTCACAAACTAAAAGTTTCTCAACAGTCAAAAAGGACCAGTGAAAGCACGCTAAAGGCCACATTTATCCGTCTTACCTACATTTCTCATTGGGCTGATACTAATTTTTTAAAGTACATAATATTTTATTATTTTTATTTCAATTCTTTGTGGATTCATTTAGTTACTACGAACAGGTAAAGTGCATATTTCTTTCCCTACTCTTAATAGTGTGCTTCAGAGAAGTAAAACTATAAAACTGGTATGATTCAGATTCTGTTAACATGCTCTGTTCTTAAGCTTTTTATCACTACTGGCTTCTTTGTGTCTTCTAACCTTAATTTCTTTCTACTGTATATTCTTCCTGCTATTCCTTGTCTTTGTCTTTCATGACTTTGAATATTCCTTTCCAGCCCTTTGTTGCTGGCAAGATTTCTTTTGAGAAATCAGCTGATAGTCTTATGGGAACTCCTTTGTAGGTAACTGTCTCCTTTTCTCTTGCTGCTTTTAAGATTCTCTCCTTGTCTTTAATCTTGAGTAACTTAATTATGATGTGCTTTGGTGTGTGCTTCCTTTTCCTTGGGTCCATCTTCTTTGGGACTCTTCTGAGCTTCCTGGATCTCCTGGAAGTCCATTTCCTTCACCAGAATGGGGAAGTTCTCCTTCATTATCTTTTCAAATAAGTTTTCAGTTTCTTGCTCTTCCTCTTCTCCTTCTTGCACCCCTATGATTCAGATGTTGTAATGTTTAAAGCTGTCCCAGAGGTTCCTAAGTCTCTTGCTGTTTTTGTGAATTCTTGTTTTTTCATTCTGTTCTGATTGAATGTTTATCTCTTCCTTCTGCTCCAGATTGTTGATTTGAGTCCTGGTTTCCTTCCCTTTACTGTTGGTTCCCTATAAAGTTTTCTTTATTTCACTTTGCATAGCCTTTGTTTTTTCCTCCATTTTGTGGCCATAGTCAACCAGTTCTGTGAGCATCCTGATTATCAGTGTTTTGAACGGTGCATCTGATAGGTTGGCTATCTCTTCATTGCTTAGTTCTATTTTTTTGGAGCTTACTTTGATCTCTTCTTTCATTTGGGCCATATTTCTTTGTCTCAGCACGCCTGTGACATTGGTAGCGTCAGAGCCTTAGGTATTCACCAGGGCTGGCTACGCAGGTTGCAGAATTGTGACACTGTGTGGGGGAGGAGTCCGAGAGGGAACAGTGCCACTTGCTTGACTCCCAGCTGATTTTCAGTCACTTCCCCCTCTGCCTGCAAGCAAACTGGGCCCTTTTAGTGCTGTTTCCCAGGTGGGTGGGTTTGTGTACATTCTGGGCCCCTGTGGGTCTCTCCAGCGAACTCTCCCGTGAGGCTGGGAGTTTCTCCCACTGCTGCAACCCCCACAGATTTTTACAGCCAGAGGTCTTGAGGCTTTCTTTTCCCACACTGGAACCCTGAGTTGCACGGTCCTGAGTTGCTCCACTCCCCAGCAGTTCCTCACAGTTTATCCACATGCAAATGTGGGACCGCTGGGTCCTCCAGCCACTGCCTTGCCGTGTGTTTTCTCTGCCCAACTGCCCGTCTAGCCCCTCCTACTGGTCTGGATGAATGTTTCGTCTTTAACTCCTTGGTTATTGGACTTCCATACAGTTCAGTTTTCTGGCAGTCTGGTTATTTTGGTTTTAAATTCGTTGTCTTCCTTTTGGTTGTGCGAGGAGGCAGAGTGTATCTACCTACACCTCCATCTTGGCCGGAAGTCTTGTTCAGGATTTTAAATCACCCCTTGTGTAAAGTAATAGGTATATCTTTCAGGTCCAGAAATACACATGTATATACTAATATTTTAATTGCCTAATAATTTCCATAAAAATTTCATTTTAGTAACTTTAGCTATCAAGAAATGGCAAAGATAGGAAAAAAGGACAGGTTTTGGACAGGTTTTATTCAGTCAGTCTCTGCCTACAACATTTTCGTGTAACTTTAAAGGACAAGAGTTTCTTCAGCTGATTAACCACAGGTAATTTCTAGCCATTTGTAGATTTCCCTGGAGTTTTCAGGATGAGAATCAGTGTTCTTATCATTGATACTCCCGGGAGGGTCTGCTTCAGCAAAGCAGCTTTATCAGTAATAGTTGTAGGCATATATTATTTTTTTTAACTAATACTTCTAAAACTCATTTCTGCTGAGTTTTTAATGCTTTAGTTTAACAATGTAAGAATATGAAAACAAGGGAATCCTTTATATCATCCATTTTTTTATATTACTATTTCTATAAAGTTGCTCTGAATCTTATCTTCCAATGACTTGATTTTTCCAGGCCCCAAATCCTCACCACTCCGTCTCCTTCAAAATCCATTCCAATTCCACAGCCTTTCCGACCAGCAGATGAAGATCATCGAAATCAGTTTGGACAGCGTGACCGATCCTCATCAGCTCCAAATGTGCATATAAACACAATAGAACCTGTCAATATTGATGTAAGTATCCAGCCTTATTAGAACTAAAAAAAAGAATTCAGATATACTTATTTTTCTGGTACAGTTATAATATAAATCAGAAATAAGTGCCATCTTTCAATAATCATAGCTGTAAGTGATAAAGTTTTATGAATTACTAATCAGAAAATCTTTGTCTTCTCTGATGGCATTAAATGCTTAACTGGTACCAAATTACAGATGTACTCTGTTGGGTTTGTTTTTTTTTTCTTATACTACGTGTGGAAGTCTTATCTTAATTTACTTAACAGATAATCCACTTGGCCATTTTATGGTAAAGAAAAAAATAATGCAGTTGCAGGTTTTTTCTTTAAATCAATTTGAAATCTTTACCTAAATTTCTAAAAGTACAAGTTTGAATTAAATAACCCTTAAGGACTAATTATTACTTTATGTATTTGATATGTAAAGCTACTTTTTATCTTCTTGACTGTCTTAAGGATACCATTGTATTTCATCTCTATACACATCTTGAACTTTGGCATATTTTTTTAAATGTAGTTCATTATTCAGTTTTAATCATTCATTGTTTAAAATGGATCTCTGGTCTCATCATCACATATTGTAATCTCACCTCTTCAGTTATTGTGGCCATCTTCTGGCTGGCCGCTCTTTACTTTTCTAGTTTATCTTGCACACTGTAACTTAATTATGTACATTAGTGTCCCTTCTTCAATTAGGTCTTAATTTCTGGACAGCAAATAACCATTCTTTGGCACCTATATTAGAACTAACCATATAATAGGTCATCAAAAAGAGTATTTGTCTCTGTAAAAGAGTTAAAAAATGGCCCTGGCTGCTGTGGCTCAGTAGGTCGTGCATCATCCCACAAACTGAAAGGTCATCAGTTCAATTTCCGGGAAGGGCACATGCCTGGGTTGCAGGCCAGGTCCTCAGTTGGGGATGTGCAAGAGGCAACCACACATTGATGTTTCTCTCCGTCTCTTTCTCCATCTTTTTCTATCTAAAAAATAACTAAAGTCTTTTTAAAAATAAAAATAATGCAGAAGAAATTTCCTGTAATATGGACCAAGGATCAACAAACTCTTTCTTAAAGGTCCAGATAGTAAAATTACAAGCTTGTGGGTCATATGATTTCTAATGACAGCTATTGAACTTTGCCAGTGTAGTGTGAAAGCAGCTATAGATAATGAATTATAAACAAATGGGTGTGGCTGTATTCCACTGAGATTTTATTTACAAGAACAGGTGGCCAGCTCACTGTGCTTTGCCAATGTCTGCTGTAGGCAAAGAGAGGAAGAGATGAGAAAAAAGATGAAATACAGGATCAGTGCAAAAGGACTGGTTCGTTTCATGGAGTCATCCTGATAACTAAAGTGCCCTTGCTGTCTGAGCTGTGCTGAGCTGGGATCCTTGGAATAATCTTGGAGTTAGGTATTATGTTTTCTGGAACTTGTGCTTTAAAATAAAGAGTATAGGTTATCCTTAATCTCTGGAAGGTAATTATATTTAAAAAGGAAATTGAAACTGTTTCCCCACGTAAACAGGGGCCTGGAGTTAATGAGGTGGTTACGTGTCTGTTAGAAGACAGGTTTTTCTAATTATATAGTCATTCCTATGTGAGTCCTCATAATTACAAGGTAGAGTAGAGAAGCAAAAATTGTCCTAACAGGAAAATATTCACTAATTAACAGAGTACTTTAATATTAGTTTCTACTCAAATTTCCCATCCCATTTACTACCAGCCTGCATTTCAGCCCCTTTATATCAATATCCAACATTTCATTGAAAACATAATACAAACCAATTGCAAATCTGGCAAAAAAATAAAGTAAGGATTTTATGAAGACTATAAAAAGTGACTTAGGAGAACTACTCATATATAAAGCCATTGAGAAATACACAGAATTAAATTAGTCCAGTTAATAACAGAAAATCCATAAGGATGGAAATATAATTGGCTCCTCAAATGAGAATGATTTAAATATCAAAGGATTGATAGAGTCCCTAGAGGGATAAAGTCCTCTAAAATTTTTATTAAAATGATTATCATGATGTAAAAGATGAATTTGAAATTAAGAATTTCAATTTGTGCTGTCATAAATTTGGTATGACCAACAAAACTTGATTCTTTCTATGTTTATTCTAAGAATTAGCATATTTTTTAAATTATGACTTAAATTTTTTTGTTTAATGTAAAATAAACCTTATTATAAATTTTAACTTCATTTTTAAAGATAAATTTCCAAATCAGACTTTCTTCCCATTTCTTACTATGAATTTTTTTCTGTATTTTAAATGACCTTTTCTTAATACTAATTTTTCTCCACTAATAAGGCCTTCCTCAGTCTAACTAGACCTGAATACAAAGGAAGAAAGATGTAGGAGAGGGGAATATGGGAATAAGCAGATAATGAAATAAGAAATCAAATCTAGTTCTACGTTAGATCTGTTCTCAGATGTTCAAAATTGTAACTTTAATCTTTACTTTCAAAATGAACATTCTTTTCAAGATTTTATTTATTCGAGGCTAGCCACAGTTTTGGGAGCAGGGAGGGGCCTCCCTCAACCACGCAGCTTAGGACGCAGGAAAGCAAAATAGCAGCAATGCAGAGACTTCTCTTAGCAATTTGAAAGGATGCAGAAGGACTCCCACCAGCGCACTGTGAGGATGTGGTTTTGGATTAAGAATGGAAGTCTCGCCAAGCTATGTACTTCTATTTCCTTTCCTGAGATACCATACTCCTGATTGTCCTGACTGGGCAAAGGGGAGAAGGCAGGACTGTGTGTGTGTGTTGGTGAGTGTTTTCAAAGGGACTTTGAAATTTAACAGCGACATTCCATTACTCTAACCCTGTATAACTTTTGAATAAATAGTTCCTTTCCTTCTCTCTCTCTCTCTCTCTCTCTCTCTCTCACACACACACACACACACACACACACACACACACTTTATTCATTTTTAGAGAGAAGGGAAAGAAGGGAGAGAAACATCGTTGTGTGAGAGAAACATTGATGTGTGAGAAAAACATTGATCAGTTGCCTCTTGCGCGCCCCCAGCTGGTACTGGGTCTGCAACCCAGGCATGTGCCCTGATCGTGAATGGAACCAGGCGATGCTTAGCTCTGCAGTACAGTGCTCAACTGACTGAGCCACGCTGGTCAGAGTGCACACCATTCTTTTAGACCAGCGATTTTCAGTCTTTTTCATCTCATGGCACACGTAAACTAATTACTAAATTATGCGGCACACCAAAAAATAGATTGTGTTGGCTGTTGTCATTTTTTCATTTGACAATCTCAGGGAAGAGAGGTCAGTGCCCCTGACTAAATAGTTGGGTATTGCATGTTTTAAGAATTCTTGTGGCATACTGGTTGAAAACCACTGTTTTCACTTTAACTCTTGTTGTTACCACTGTTCTCCTATTGTCTTAGGCTTGAACATTTGGAGTGTCATCTTTGTATCTTGCATTTTCATCCTCCCCTATAATCGAATAGTCATAAGGTATTACCTTTTCCTTTTGACATGAAACTGAGATTTGTTCTTACAGCCACTACCATGTGGGCCCATATTTCTTCAGTTGAACTACTTACTGCATTAATCTCCTAAATGGATTTCCTGCCATTGATTTCTTTCTCTCCATTTCCATTCTTTATGCTACTACCAGATTAATTTTTTATAACAACTCTAGTATCATCTCTTCCCTTGTTCCAAAACTGTCATTGACTTCCCATTGATTATAAGATAAAATATAAACCCGTTAGCATTTTCATTCAGTGTCAATCATTTCATCCAATTTCAGTTATTATTTATCATTTATTGTTCCAGTAAACAAGATTTAACATTGACTCTGGGACAGACACTGTGTCAGAAATGGTAATTAAGGATGAATTTGTACACAGTCTTTACTCTCAAACAAGTCATAATCTAATGGATGAATCAGATATATAAATAAATAATCTCAAAAATATTTAATGATAGTTTATTGGAGCAAGTAGATCCTGGTTGGATCTAGGAATATTTAGCAGAGAAGAGACAACATTTAAGCCAGATTGTGAAAGGTGAATGAGTAGGAGTTTATTAAGTGCACTAGTTGGGGTTTCAGGAAAAGGGGACATTTGTTAAGGAAATAGTATGTACAGAAGTATGGAAGTACCTTTACACAGAGAGTTAGTGAGACCACCAGGATTTTATATTTACTGGTAGCCACACAACCCCCAACACCTAGCATCTTGTTTGCAGGTATATGAGTGTTAATATTCTATAGAAAATTTTGAAAGCTTTCTATAGTACATTGAACAAGATAAAAATACATTTGTAAAGAATTCACTCATAAACAAAGAGCTATCTATTTGCAAAGAACCTGTGAGCCTGTTTAGAGATACTTGGGGCCACCCAATGCCTCACACTTAAGTTATCTTGGGTAAACACACCAATCTAAGTTTGCCAATTAAGGGCCAAACTGCATTGCATTGCCAGAAGACTCTTCTCCCCCAACCCCCAGCATTGTCCTTTGTAAAAAATTGTTATTTTAATAATAAGGACAAATTTTAACAAAACCTTTGTTTGAGCCATTTTGATTTTGTCCCTTCTCGTGTATTTTTACACATCACATTTTTATGATTGTAATTGGTATATTCTGTTTTTTTTAATTTTGTATTTTTTCATTACATTGTAAACATGTTTTCATGATTTCATCTTCATAATTATTTTAATAACTACATAATACTGCATTAAACTTACATACCGTAATTTACTTAACAAATATATCAATAAGCCTAGAAGAAGGAAGTAATTCTGATTTTTTAGCATAATAGATAATGGTGCACTAAACATCTTCATGCACATCACTTTTCTTTTTCCTGAATTATTTCCTTCAGAAAAAATTTTCAGAAGTGGAATTATAAGATCAGAGGATATGAACATTTTATGGCTCTTAATATGTGCCAGTAGAATTTTTTAAAAAATTGATACAGCCATTAGTTTTGAATGGCCTGAAATGGATTTCAGCATTTGATCAGGACTAATAATCCCTTCAATATAGGGTTAGGGTGGCAAGTGCTTCAGATCTTGATTTTATCATGTTCACTAGCTAATTCTGTATTCTTTTCTGTGGAGTAATTATAAGACAGTTACTGTTTTGAATTAATCTATTAATGCTTAGTGGAAAATTCAGTGTTTTTATTACTCTCTTACCACATGCTTTGAATAAAATATACATTACTATTTATTTGTAGGACTTGATTAGAGACCAAGGGTTTCGTAGTGATGGAGGTAAGTGGTGATTTCAATTTTTAAAAATTCAGGGAAAAATGCAACTGCTTTGCTGCTTGTCTCCTTTATATTTGCTTCTTTCATAAAACACAGACACAGAGAAAAATGTATAGAGAAAAACCAAAACCTTTTGTTTTTCTTTAGTATTTTCTAATTAAATCTAATAACATTTTAATTAATTTTTAACATGAGTAGAGGAAAAGAAGAAATAAAAAGGAGTCTTAAATGTACTACCTATGGTTTTAAAAGGTTATCAAGGAGAGATTCTTAGATATTTTACCCATTTTATGGATTTTAAACCGTCTCCAAAGCTGAAGATGCAAAATTTTCCTAGGGAATCTGCACCAGTACTTAAAGACTGAGCTTAAACTTGCTTTTCCTAAATCATTGTTGGAGAATCCCTTGGATTGCCTGTCACAACGTCTCACCTTGTTAGATATTGTCAACTACTTCCCTTCAATCTTCTAAAAAAGGGTTTGAAATTTACATTTTATAGAATGAACCCCTAATGGAAAAGCCTAGTTGCCTTTTTTTGTCCAATAAATAAAATAAGCAAATGAGAAATTAAATTGAGATTTCTTTTAGAATTTTCATCTGAAATTTACTCTAGCACCCAATAAAAATGGGCATAAGAAAACATTAGTTAAGAAAGTACTTTTTAAATAAGAGTTTACTCCCAAATAATGTTTTCTAAAGATGGTATTTGAAACTATCTTAAAGTTTTCTTCCAGATTGTTGTACATGCTTATCTTTTTAGCTGTCTTCTATCTAATAAGGAAGAACTTCAATACCTTCTTATCTTGCTTAGAGTTGGTCTCTTTCTCTATGACCTCCTTTATCTTAAAAATGTCTAAGCCCAGCCTCAAAAATATTTTATATTGAATAAATATTGTATAAACCACCTTTTGTTGTGTTTCTATGGACCTGTGAAGCTACCAAAGTAATAACCCTGCATTATATACTCTAGGCATAGTGTTTACTATAGCAAATAGTTATAAAAGTGTTTTTTTTCTGTTTGTTATTCCATGAACCCTCCAATTAATGTTGCTGCCAGTTTGACTTTTCGTATGTCTTAGTAGCTTTGGCTTTTGAAAATTTTGCCCAATACATCCAGCATTTAAATGTTGCCATCATTTTAGCATCACAAAGTTAACTTAGTCATAAAAGCTGCCTGCTTAGTACCTAAAACGAAGTGGCATTTCTTGTCCTTTTTTGTGAGTCACTTTTTAAAAAACCATTGGGATTTTATGAAAATAAGCAGTTTTTTTAACATCCTGAATTATTTTGTGAAGCAGGCTTCGACTCATTTTATTTATTCCCCATGACTTCTTTCATTTCTTCTGTGTCTGTCTTCCTGTGTTTGCCTGCCCCTCTCTTTCTCTTCTAACAGCCCCTTTGAACCAGTTGATGCGCTGTCTTCGGAAATACCAATCCCGGACTCCCAGTCCCCTCCTACATTCTGTCCCCAGTGAAATAGTGTTTGATTTTGAGCCTGGCCCAGTGTTCAGAGGTAGTTGGGCTCTTCTTTCTTGTTTCACCCAAAGCAAACTAAATATAAATTACAGATACTGTTTGTGCCTCACCCTCACAGCGTGTGTTTGTAAGTGTGAGAGTTTTCAGTACCTAATTTCTGCTTGGCCTGGCTGGAATGCTCTGAATGTGCTTCTCACACATACTCACTACCACAAGCTTTCTGTATGTTGTCTGTCATAAATTTTAAAAGCAAGAAGTCTGAGATTTCCATCTTGTTTTTTGTTACATTACTTTTTGGTCTTGATAATGTCTTAAACTTAGTGGGTGGCAATAAATAATGTGGGAGGGGTATCCTTTAATTTGTATTTCTTTTATTTTAATCCATTTAGGTGGTCACCTTGATGAACTATTAATATTTGTTATTAATTTTTGTGGTTTTTAAAAAGTAAAAATGAAAATGGAAATCCTTATTATGAGATTTTTCTAGACTTTTGGCTTTATTTTTTTCTGTAATATCAGCAGTGTCCTTCTTAAAAAGTAGGACATGTATATTTTATACTAAATCAAAGGTGTAGGGAGCTTTCAAAAGACTTTTAATATATTTAGAGTATTTTGGCATACTTCAGAAAATTTGAGGAATGATACTTTCAGTTATGCCTTAGTATGAGGAAAAAATTAGCAGTATAATTTCAGTCTCTCATTTTATATTACCATGCTTTAATTAGTGATTAAACTGATTTTTTATAATTTATGTCAAAATTGAGACAGGAGTTTGCTATAAATAGTTTAAAAGAATTTGCTGGCTTTTGCTAGTTAGTGTCTGTCACTTATTCTGAACATAGTTGTCGTGGTTCAGATTTTTGTTCTCTCTCAGCCCAACATGTCTCAAGAAATCCATAGAATGATCTGAAGTCATACAGTACTGAGTAGTGTCAGTAATAACAATACAGTACTAAGTAGATCAGAACTGTGAAGACTGAGCAAGCAGTTTAGGCTTTATAATGTTGAAAATTATCAGTGGAAGGTAGAAATGGATTGTGCTCTCATTAATAGACATTCCAGATAGCATTTTCTTTTGGAAACCTAAATATGAGGTTATCAGAATTCCATATGATAACATGTGATATAGTAGTGATAACATTTCTACCAGATTTAATATTTAAATGTTGTCATTGGTATCCCTGTTCTTTGAAAGTTAGTGACTGCCTCCTCTCAGAATATTAATCTTTAAAAAAAAATTTTTTTCTTGTAGTCTTTTTGTTCTGTATGTGCAAATATTTTTTTGACATCTCAGTCCTACTTTACTCAGGCTCCAGTAGGAGTCATTGTCCTGAACCTCTCTGAACAAGGTCCTACTGGACATGAACTTAGAATTATTGCCACTGAGCGAGCATTTGGAAAAGTACCCATCAGAAAGGTGTGCAACCCTGCCAATCTAGTCCATTTTCAAAGAATGCACTCCTTGGGCTCAACTGGCTAAGAGAATATTTGCATTTGTAGTAACTTGACTCAGAGGCTTTGTCGCTTAACTTTGCTCTCATTTGTGAAGGCAGGGATTTTTCAGTCTTGAGAAACATGCTAGCTTTGTTTACATTAATATTGTATGCAGGCAACAAATAATCTTTGTTTAGTAGAGTAAGCCTTCAGGAACTGATGAAACTGACCAGTATCTCTCACTCTTTAAGTAGTATAGTATGTGATACAGGATTTTTTTTTTTTATTTTAGTGCCTTACATGAAAAAGCCAGATATTTTCAACATTAAGACTATTTGTAGAATATATTTCCTTTTGGGGATTTCCATCTTTTTTTATATTGATTGGGTGCTTAAGCAACATAAAATAATTAAAAGCTTATTTCTTATATTGGCTTTTAAATTGATTTTGCTTTTTTATTTTTTATATCAAAGAGACAGACCTTGGGAGTATTGTTTAGTATGTATCTCTTATCTTAGAGAGATTTTTTTTCTTAGAATATGCACCAATAAGCAAAGTGTATTATCTGTAATCAGATATTTTAACAGTCACTAAATTGGCCAGAAAACTAAAAGAAATTATAGTGCTCATCACCAAATGGAGCCCCTTTTTGGCTTCTCCTTTTTAAAAGGTTTATACTTGAACATGCACTGCATTTTTTAAATAAGTCTAAATCTCCCCTCACCCTCTGCCCCCCCCAATAAATTAACATACTTGGTCTTCCTTTAATGGATATATTTTTCCTTTCACTAACTTAGGATCAACTACAGGTTTATCTGCCACACCCCCTGCCTCATTACCTGGCTCACTCACTAACGTGAAAGCGTTACAGAAATCTCCAGGACCTCAGAGGGAAAGAAAATCATCTTCATCCTCAGAAGACAGGAATCGAATGGTAAGAGTACATGATATCTTGATTCTTCTGTGTTCCTTCTTTATAGAAGTCATAGCCAAATCTAGTGTCAGCTTTTAGGTATATTGATATGTCCATATGTGACACAGAATTCCCATAATCAAATAAATTTAAGAGCTAGTAATTGTTTGCTTAAAGCATATTCACACAACACAGATGTTTTTTCCCTCCAGTGTAATTGAGTAGAAGGCAGTTTTGAAAGAGAATACAGTTGACTCTTCAATAACATAGATTTGAACTTTTGGAACTACTTACGTGTGGATTTTTTTCCAATAAATAAACAGCTGGCCCTCCATATTCCCAGGTTTCACATCCATGATTCAATGAACTGAGAGTCGAAAACAGTATTGGTCCTGAAACCAATCCCCGACAGATACCAAGGGACCAGTATAGTCAAGTTTTGAGGGAAATCAAAAATTATATGCTGATTTTCAAATGTGCTAAAGGTCTATACCCATAAACCCCACATTGTTCGAGGGTCAGCTGTAGTGTTCTGCTTCTAAAATGAGGAAAAAGAGTAAACTAGTATTTTAGGAAGCATTATTAGGTGTATATGTTCTAAAGGGCTGGTCTGAAATTCAAATATCTACTAAATGACATTCTTCCCTGTTTGAAAAAATAACTTTATGAAATCTATATTAAAAATTAATAATTTAATTTTAGCAATAGTGTATTAATAGTGTATGTTGGATAGGTGCAATCTCTTTACCACACCAAAGTGGTTGTATATGTTGACAGTTTTTTAAGAGACCGGATCAGGTAAGATACATGAGGAAACTTAGCACCAACTGGAAGAAAGTAAGTAAATAAATTATCAACAGTTACCATAGTATGTTACCTTAAATTTTGGCCTTTGAAGCCAAAGCTAGTCGTAGATATATAGTACTTATCTTGCTGGTGGTTGTCCTCCAAATTATAAGACTTCCATTTTATTGATTTTAGTGATATATATTTCTGCTCATACCCTATAAACAATTTTTGATAAATTCTTTTTATCCTAATATTGACTTAGGTCTTCAATTTAAGTTCTGTATTGTAGCAATCATACTTCTATTCTTCCAAAGTGTGTTTTTTTTTTTTTCTTTAAAAGATACCATCTCTTTCTAACTTGCGTCCCCTTTGGACATAGGAGAAAGTATTTAGTGTGAAACCTAAGGTTTTCCTTTTTGTTTGCTTTTGTTTGACTTTTGCACTATTTTTATCAAGAAAACACTTGGTAGACGGGATTCAAGTGACGATTGGGAGATTCCTGATGGGCAGATCACAGTGGGACAAAGAATTGGATCCGGGTCATTTGGGACAGTCTACAAGGGGAAGTGGCACGGTACGTATGTAGTACAGTAAACTTGTCACAAGTTGCAATAATATGATGTAACTGACAACTTCTATTTTAAAAATCAAAAGGAGTATTCACTCTGCACATCATTAGACTTTTTTGATTATATTCAAGGATTGAGGGAGGGAGGCGGGAGGGGGCAGAGGAAGGTGGTAGGGGAAGGCAGAGACAAATGTATTTGAAAAAATAAAGAAAATAAATTTTTAAAAAAAGTTTTTGAACAAAAATATTCAATAAAAACTGATTCACAGCAACCAAGTCCTACCATTATATTACTTACTTTTTTTTTTAAAGGTAAAATGTCTTTATTGTTTGAAGCATAAAGAGAATAAACATTTCATTTCTCACTTAGTCTTCTCAATGAGGTTATAAAAATACAATACCACTTAATCTGTATGAACTCCTGAAAATGCCTGAAAGTTCACACTTAATATAAAAAGGCACCCAAAACGCAATGAGGTAATAAAAAAATGACCTCATTGATACAATTTAATATTCAGTTAGAACTTTTAAAGATGATTCTCCAGTTGAGCTAATCCCCAAAATGTTTTTTTCTTTGATAATTTTTCTGCTTATAATTTTATTTGTATTATAAACAGTAAGTATATTAAAAGTGTATTACCAAAGGAAGAAATGGAGTTTAAACATATTTAAAAATGTTCAGCCTCACTAGTTATCAGAATTGCAAAATCAAAAAGTAGAAATCACTATTTGCATCTCAAGTGGACAAAGATTTTTTTTTTAATTGGTTGTATTTAGAGTTGTAATTATAATGCTGCTGGTGGGACGATAAATTGCTACAAGTTTTCAGGAGAGAAATTTGACAATGTGTATATGGAGCCAGTAATTCCATTTATAGAACTTTATACTGAGGAAATAACTGGACAGGAACAAACAGATGTGTGTACAAGTATGTTAATTGGAAGTTTAATAAAAATGGAAATTAAATGTCCATTAATAGAGTATTGTTTAAATAAATTGATAATCTCCATATGTGATTATACAGAAATTAAAATATGGTAGAATTATATTTATTGCTATGGAAAGGTATCTGGTATATTAAATTTTACAAAGAAGCATGCATAATATTCCATAGTATGATGCTACATAGAAATATATTTAACAATTTTAAAAATGATCATCAGTATTTGAATACATATATTTTTAAGTTATCTTTTTCTACAAATTCACAAATATTCACATTGATACATATAAAAGCCTAGTAGGATATAAATCAATATGTTAACGGTGGTCATTTATGAGTGACATGATTATGGGAAATATTTTTTTCTTTATGCATTCAAAATGTTTAATTTTTTTACTGTGAGCAGTGTATTACTTTGATAATCAGGGAAAGTAATTTAATTGTAATGAAGTATAATATCCATGCAAAAAAGTTAAGTGTTCAAGTAGCTAAAATCTCACATCGTGAACACATCCATAGTCAATAAACAGAACATTACGGCCTTGTAGAAGTCCTTCTCATGTCCTCCTCCCCCAGGGGTAGCCCCTCTCCTGATTTTAGCAGAAATCAGACAGTATGCACTCTTTTGTGTCTCGCCCTTTGCACTCATCATTGTTTATAAGATTCATCTGTATTGTTGTGTATAGTTGTAGGTCACTCATGCTCTATATAGTATTCCATAAAATTATTCCTTTTTCTACGTACTGTGTGATGTGCATTTTAATAGTTTCCCATTTGGGCCTGTTGCAAGTGCTGCTGCTGTAATTACTCTTAATGCATACATGTCATCTGATGGTGTGTCCATTTTTGCTGTGTGTACACCTAGAAAAGAATTGTGGGGCCACCGGATCTGCATGTATTCTATTTTAGTAGATACTGCCAACCATGTTGCAAGTGGTTTTACCAATTTACACTCCCACTGGCAGTGTGTGTGAGTTGTACCTGGTTCACGTAGAGTTTTTTTTTTTTAAATAATGATTATAGTTTTAATAAGTTTCCTAAGCAAAGAAACAAGTGATCCATAGGAACAAGTGATCCATGGATTTGAAAAAAAATTGTTAACTACTCTGATAAAGAAATCTTGTAGTTTTCTATTTCAGCCAAGCTCCATTGGGCCTGTCATTTATAGTTTTAACATTTAGTTAGTGAATGCATCTAATTCAATATTTATAAATAAGTAGGAAAATATCATGGGTACTTAATTGGTTAAACTGAATTCCCAGGAGAAAAACAAAGTTGGCTGTTTTTTTTGGATGGGTATTTTGAAATACTAGTATAATGTAGTATCATAGTCAGTTTAGTTCTTATCCTTAGAAAAATCAATGCAGTGAAGGAAGGTATGGTATATGTTATTGTATCATAACTTATACCATAAAGCAGTTTAATAATGGTGTGGATTTAAGGCTATGGTAATTAGTGAAAATACCCAAGAATTTTTTTTATGTTTTTAAATTTAAAAAATCAGAATGACATTTGAAATGATAATTACCTTTCAGGTGATGTGGCAGTGAAAATGTTGAATGTGACAGCACCCACACCTCAGCAGTTACAGGCCTTCAAAAATGAAGTAGGAGTACTCAGGTGAGTTAGTGTAAATTACTGTTTTCCAGAGAAATTATCTGTACCTCCTCTTTTCCAGTGGTCACCACTGTTAGCTGTAAAGATTTAACTCAAAATGGATAAAACAGAGTTTGAGTATATTTTGTCTTTTACCATATTCTTTTAAGTGGTATGCAGTATTATATTGGACAGCTGATAGAAGAATTAAGCCTAGAGTGAGTTAATGGAAATGTAGTATTTTGCTTATGAGAAATAATACTTCTACTCATAGAAATAATACTCTCAAAATTCTAATCTTATCAGAACACATTTAGAGAGTATATCGTGTCCTGGAACTTGAGGAACATTAACAAACTGGAGTATGTATAGGCAAGGACAGCTTAGATGGGGACGATTCTAGAGCTGTAACCTAAGGGTAATAGTACCAGTAATCAACAGAACTGAGGATACTGGGTCCATAGAAGGCTGTTACGTTCTAGGGTACAGACTCTTCTTATTCCAGAGAGCAGAACAGGGAAGCCAGAGGAGTTGTAGAAATACGATTTTTTCCTCAACCCAAAAAATTTTCTAAAACTAGAACCACTATTTTTTTTTTTTAAAAAAGTGGTAAAAATAGATGTTAGTCTCAGTGGTGAGCATCCCATAATTGAAGGTATTTAAGCAACCTCTAGTTTCCTATCTGTCTGATATATTAAAAAAGATATTTCTGGAAAGAGTAGAAAATTAAACTAGACAATTACTAAAGTCTTCTAAATTTATCCTTCTTTTGCCTTTTTTAAAAATACCTTTTTCTGACAACATTTTACTGATAAATAGACTGTTTTGGCTTCTTTTTAAAGATTTACTGAAGTTTATCAACATTTACTACTTACTGTTACATTTCTTTTTATAGGAAAACTCGACATGTGAATATTCTACTCTTCATGGGCTATTCAACAAAGCCACAACTGGCTATTGTTACCCAGTGGTGTGAGGGCTCCAGCTTATATCACCATCTCCACATCATTGAGACCAAATTTGAGATGATCAAACTTATAGATATTGCACGACAGACTGCACAGGGCATGGAGTAAGTTCCATTCTGTTAAATACCTTGTAAATTACTTTTGAAGATGGATGAGGGTGTTTTAAAGATTTTAGCTGATAATATTTTGGATTGCTTTTTAAATTATTGTCTAGCAACATATGGATACTTTTAACTGGCTAGCAATATACTAAGAAATAAAATGGTCTGTACTACAGTCTTCAAAACAAAGTATTTGATAATAAATGTGACTGCAGATTTATGTTTAATATGCTGTGATATCACTAATCATATGATTCAGAAAACAAAACTAGGTGAGCAAACAACCACTAAAAATTATTAGCAGTTATAGAAGAATATAAAATAATTATTTTCTCCAAGTGCCCATATTTTCTGTTACAAAATGGTCGTTTGCATATAATAAAATAAAATCTGTATTCTGATCCTTTTTGAGGATTTCAAGTTGAATTGTTCATATTCACTGAACTGTGCTCTAATTTAAAAGAGAAAAAGTAACTTTATAAAATTTACCATAGGTCAGAATCTGAATCTGTTCAAATATGAAAGATTATATTAAAAACTTGTGAAGAGTAAACCATGGCAAGAGTAGTAAACATTGAGAGAGAAACAAAGGTTATTCTCTCCTCCTCCCCACCCCCCAGCTAAGCGCACTCCCTCCCCAGGGACTTTGTACTCCTTTTTTTCTCTTTGGGATACTCATGCCACAAATATCCATACAGCTTCTCCCCGTGTCTCTGTTCAGATACCATCTTTTCAAAGAAGCCTTCTCTGATCACCTTATATAACTGATGACCCTACCTCACCCTGTTACTCTCTATACCCCTATCTTTGTTTTGGTATATTTAACTCCCAATCCATATGAATACTTGTTTATTGTCTGTCACTGCCACTAGATTAGAAGCTATATGAGAGCAGGGACTTTGTTTTGTTCATTGTTTTATCCCTAATGCCTAGAACAGGGCCTGGCCTATAATAGGTACTCAATACATATCTGTGGAATTAAAAAATAAGGAAGGATTACACACAACTGAGTATTATTACGTTTGCTTTTTAGAAGAAAGGAAGCCAAATCCTTCTCATACCAAAATTGAGAAATGTCAAGAAAAGGAAAAATAGTCAGTGAAATAATAAAGGGTACCAGAGGGGGAAAGGCTTTTGCTATGAACAGAGGCAGCAAAAAAATAGTAATAAAAATTATTTTTAGAAACAGTGATAGGGCAAGTCAAATGCCAATATTGAGTAAGACAAGAAATGACAGTAGAGAAGAACACAATCAAATTGGGACATTTCTGTAGTCTCGGGGGTAGTCAGCAAGGAGGCAGTTTTTCCGTTGCTTTCAGTTTGTGATCTGTAAGTGTAAACTTTGCAGTCTCTTTATCTACTCTGAAATACTTTGCTTACATTTTAAGTAACACTCACTATATAATGAGTATACCTGGCTGTGAATGTAGGACATGGCTGTGTGTGGTAGTTACCAGAGGGGGACGACAAAGAGTATAAATGGAAGCAAATACAAGGCAATGAAATGAGACTAAACCTCGGGTAGTGAGCACCCAGTAGAGTGTACAGATGTATTGTAAAGCTGTACACCCTAAATTTATGTAATGTTATTAACCATTGTTACCCTAAAAAATTTAATTTTTAAAAATTATTTTTTTAAAAAAGAATTCCATTTCCATAGTATCCAAAAGGAATAAATTTTACCAAGGAGGTAAGAGATTTGTACTCTAAAAAGAACAAAACATTGCTGAAAGAAATTAACTATAAAGAATTGGGGTTTGGCACACAATATTGCAAGTGTACTTAATGCCATTGAATTAATTATACACATAAAATGGTTAAAATGGGAAATTATATGCTATATATAGTTTATCACAAAGTTAAAAACAGTAAATAAAATGGCTATGTGGGTTTCAGATAAGGTAGCAGATTTATGCTATCTTTTGAAACTTCACTGAAACTATAATAAAGGATTGTTTTTTAAACATGAATTTATAAGGTTGGAGATAACAAAGAGGAAGAAGTAATAACAAAAACATTTTAAAAGCTAGAAAGCAGATGGAGGAGTGATCTTGGACTTAGTAGACCCAAAAAAGCTAAATTGTTCATTGGTAATGAGGAAATAAAAATTAACCTGATTTATGCCACAGAATCCTCAGAAGTCTCAGGAATTGGCAGTGCCAGGTACCCCTGAGGAAGGAGAGATAAATGAAAAGGCCTGTCTCCTGCTCTGTGCACTGGGTGACTGCCCCGCCCCTCCCTGGCAGTACACCAGAAGCTTATTCTCTGGAGAGAAAAAAACAGATATCTCTGAACTGGGGACATGGACTTGGATACTTTACTAGAGATGGAGACTGAATGACTGCCTCCTGAATGATGATTGGAGAGTTCCCCAGCCTCTCTTTTATATTGTTTCCCAGAATGCTAACCGCCAGACTTTCCCCTTCACACAAGATATTGGAAGAGTCTTCGGCAAGGAACCTTAGCAGCCAAAAGGTGGTGACATCAGGGTTTCCACCTAGATCACTGTACAGGGAAGTTCAAAAACAAGCAGCCCATCTATAAGCTAAAGCTTTTAGACAGCTGTAAATTCCCTCCCTCAGACTAAGACCAGGTATCCCTGGCTCACCGGCCATCGGAGGGGGGAAGTCTCTGATGCCAGTGAGAAAGACCAAAACAATGTGGGGGGAGGGGGCAACTAGGAGTAAACACAGTGCAAGAAGAACAAGTACCCCTCCCCAAAAAAAACCTGTCAGTCTCATCAACGATAAAAGATTTTTGTATCCTTGAAACAAGAACAGATGCTTTAAAAGAAACTTTCCAATGACAACAAAAAATGTTAAAATGTTGATATTAAGAGTATACTGGAAGTGACATCCTTTGCAGTTAAACTTAACTTTTAAATGTTTGGCTCCTCCTCCCCGTCTTCCCTCATTTCACAAAGTCCGTAGACTTTAAATAGCCATCAGTAATACACTTTTGCAAAGCTCTCATTTCAGAATAGCCCCCAAATGTTCCCTAGATGCTGTTGAGGGTGATCTAACTACTTTCCAGAATATATTCCAAAGTCCCAGGGCATAAGCAGAATAAGAACATACTAACTCATTGTATAGTATGCTGGGGCTGCAGTCACTCTTAAGATAAAACCTTTAGTCATTAGGAAAGTTAAATCCTCAGGACTCTCAAATGTGTCACCTTTATTACATTACAGAATATAAGCAGATGGTCGATGGGTGACATTTTTCCAGTGTAGTTCTGTCTTTCCTCAGTGAAAGATCATTTCTGATTCCTAGGTTTAACTGAAGGGAGCGAAGCTATTCTAATAGTAGATAATTACAGACTTAGGAATCACGGTTCATATAGTATGTTTATCAGCTTCTTGCCTAATAGTCATTGATTCAGCCTAAGGGCCAAGATATTTTGAAAATATTGTTACTAAAGAAAATTCACAAATAGTCCTTCATCATGTCATTTCTTTGCAGGATTTTAATGTCAGTGTAATATAGTATAATTTTTAATTTAGCTTTATGAGAAAATTTACTAAATGCTAATTCAAGGAGGCACAAAGAGGAAATTGTGGTCTGATGTTGTACTCACAGAAGTATTATATTCTGAATATAAGATGACTAAAAATAATTTGGGAATAAAACTTCAATTTACTTTTTTAAAAAAATAATAAAAAGCATGTCCCCTTTACTCATAAAGAAATCTACTTAAAAGATAGGGTGAATTGAAGCTGCAACGATGGTGAATGTGCATTGGTGATTTAAAATAATTCTAACTTATCAGAGAATATCAATAATGAATATGATTTTTTGGTGGGTAAAAACAGTAATAGAAAAGAGGATGCTGATAATCAGAAAAATCCAAACTAAAACGTAGTGGTACTATCTTTACTCACGGGAACTGGCGAGGTGCCTAAGTTCTGACAGGGTCATGTGTTGATACGATTAGGGGAGTTGTGGACTGGGGCAGGCCTGATGCAGCCAGCCACCCCGGGGGCATTTGGGGAGTGTCGGTTGAAAATGGAAAACGAGTGGTCTACCCCAAGAAACACAAGCTTTTGTTTCAAAAGATGTGTACAGGAAGAGATATATTATAGGGAAACATATCAATATTGAAAAATTGGAAACATAATGACCATCAGTAGAGGACTGGACAAATAAAATATTAGCACCTATGTGCAGGGGAATAGTATACAGTATAGATGAATTATATATGCATCAGCGTCAGCTTTAAAATACATCAAGTGAGAAAAGTAAGCTGCAGTGTGAAACCACTTAAAATTTTAAAAACAAAACTTGTTTTATATTCAGGGTTTTTTAAGTGGTACATATGTTTATATATAAAGTATTAAAATAAGGACTGGAGGGCACACACCAAGCTTGCTAGTGGTTGGTTGTCTCGGGAAGGGCCAAAAGGGGTCAACATAGGGGCAGCTGTCAAGCAGAGGTGCTTTAGCTTTACTTGTAACATCCTAATTGTTTATATCTTTTAATAAAAAAGGTTTTGCAGTTATGTTTTACTTTTATAACCTTTTCACAAGGATAAACTTTGAAAAAAGACAAGAGGCACGTGTAAAAAGTTGAACAGGATTGGTTATGGTGAAAATATGAGAATTCTACATTGTCCTTTTTTGCAGTTTTTCTTTATTTCAAAATAAAAGTTATAAAGAAATACGCAATCAGAAAATATAAACATAAGTAACCATGAGTAATCTACCATCAAGAGAGAATCGCTATTAATATTTTTGTGTATATTGGTGTTCTTTTTCAGAATTCATTATTTTAATACTATACACAATGGTTTCTTGTAACTGCTGTTTTTAAATATGGAATCATACTGGGTGTTGCCTTTTTTCACCCTCTCCTATTTTAAACATCTTTACTAGTCAGTAAGTACTATGTTCTGATCCCAACTTTGCTGTATACTTGTAACTCACTCACTCCCCCTTTTTTTAATACCAACTATGTTCTGTGGCTTTTTTTTATACATAGTAATATATTTAGCAATTATAGTACTTA